CGTTTTAATTTACTTCTCATTTTGGTAAAAATTTTTGGTTAAAAAAATAACAATAAAATTTAAAAGAAAGAAGTAATAAAGGAAAGAAGTTATAAAAAACAAAAAAAAAATAAAAAACAAAAAAAGACAAGAAAGAAAAATAAAAAAAAAGAAAATAAAAACTAAAAAAACAGTGAAGAAAAGTGAATGTCAGAGAAAGTAAAGGGACTTGTGTCTAAGACTTTTAGTACATCATTTAAACAACAAGAGATGAAATCATGTGTTCCATTATATAGACCATTAACAGTTATTTTATTTTTCTTAATAACAGGAATTATTTTTATTCCAATAGGAATTGCAGTGTTTGTAGTAACAAATAATTGTCAAGAATATTCAGTTAAATACGTTGGAGAAGGATCAGCATTAACATGTAAACAAGGAGCAACTTGTGAATTTCAATTTAATATTCCAAAACCAATGAAAACACCAGTTTATGTGTATTATCAATTAACCAACTTTTATCAAAATCATAGAGAATATTTACGTTCTCGTTCAAATAAACAATTAAAAGGAGATCCTATTTCTACATATTCTCAATTAAGTGATTGTACTCCTTTAATATCTCTTAATAATTCTAAAAATCCTCATATGTTTTATGAACCATGTGGTTTAGTTGCTGCTTCTTTTTTCAATGATTCCTTTGAAATTACAATGCAACCTGAACAAGAATCTTCATCAGTTTTATTAGAATTAAATAAAGAAAATATTAATTGGAAATCCGATAAAAAATTATTTGGAGAACCTGCTGAACGTAATGGAATTAAAGTTGTTAATTCTTACACTGATCCTGATTTTATTAATTGGATGCGTCCTGCTGTTTCTTCTACTTTCCGTAAATTAACGGGAATTATTGAAAATGTTGAAGAAGTAAAAGGGAATGTCACTGTTAAAGTTGTTAATAATTTCCCTGTTGAAAGTTTCAAAGGAACAAAAACAATTATTTTAGCTACTACTTCTGTTTTTGGTTCTAAAAACCCTGCATTAGGAATTATTTATATGGCAACTGGTGGCGTTTTTGTAATCATTGCAATTTTGTTATTCATTTTAACAAGAGTTTCACCACGGTTTGTTCATTATTTTGTTTTTATTTCATTAATTTATATTTATCTTTTAGTAAATTTGCTGATAAGAGATTTCTTCGATGGTAAAATATTTTTTTCTTTTTGGGTTTTCATTTTTTTTTTTTTTCATTTCATTTAATCATCTTTAATAATTTTCGTGATTCTTTTTTTTTTCTTGTGATTTTATCTTAATATATTTTATATTTTGTTTGAGCTAAACATTAACTCATTTATTCTTCATTTATTATTTTAAAAAAATAAGTTAGACGAACTGAGACTTTCATTTTTAATTGAGTAAATGCAATTTACTTCTCAATTACCAAAAGTCTTTCTTAGTGAAGTAGTTCCTTATTTAAAGTCATTAGAGAACGTTTATACATTTACTTTAGTGAATAAGAAATGTAAATCAGCAGTTGAAAGTTTAAGATATAATCCTGGGTTTTGTGGATGTGGTGAAATAACGAGTGCAGAAGAACAGTCAATTTTTATTAAAGAAGTTCAATTATTTCCGAGACTTTTAGCAATCAAAGTTTCAAAATTTTCATCATTTTTATTGCATTATAATCCACAACATATTCAACAAATTATATTTTTAACTGAAATAGACTCTACTCAACTACAATTCATTGGAAATTTAAAAGAAAAAATTACAGTATTATCTCTCTTTATTTATGATGACTTTATTGACTTCTCTCAATTCAAAAATCTTCAAAGAATATCATTACGTGTTCACTTAAGTCATTCAAGTCTTGTAGAATTCTTTCCTAATACTTATCAACATCTTCAATTTGTTTTAGTGAATTTTCAATATTACGTTGATGAAGAATTTATTAATTCACTTCCATTGTATTTATTTGATAAAATAGTTCTTGAATTTGACACTAAAAATCGACTTGAATATATTATTTCATCTATCCCATTTATTTTTTCAAGAAGTACGATTGTTTACAAAGGATATTACACTGGAATAGATGAAAGAGTTATTATCAGGAATAAAATGTGGGAACTTAGTCAAGAAGATATTTATCAACTGGAATATCTTCCTGAAGAAATTATTAATTATCATTGGTTTGGAGAAAATCATGAAGAGTATATTAATGGAACTCAGTTAAATGGATTTTATAAAGCATTAAAAAATTATCTTCCATATTTTTTGGTAAATGGAAGTGGAAATATTCAAAAATTACAATGTCTAACAAATGTTAAAGGGTTTACACCTATTCAATTGCCACAAAGTATAACTTCTTTAGACATTACTATTAATATTCCACAACAATTTGGTTTAGATGAATTTAGTTCTCTAAAAGTATTACGCATTACGTTTCAAAATGCTAATCAAAATTCTTTCATTCCCAAACAAGTTGTTTCTTACGAACAAATTGGTGGAATGGTTCAATTAAATAGTTTTGTTGATGTCAAATTGATGAAATTACAAAATGTATCATCAATTTCACTTGATAATCATTGTTATAAATTAACTCATTTAGAAGTTATTAATTCTACTTTTATTAGTCCATTGTCAACAACGTCTTCATTAAAAAAACTTGTATTAAAAAAAACACATTATCAATATGATCGTTCAATTTTTTATCCAACAACGTTAACATTTCTCAGTTGTGATTTTAATGAATACTATCACTTACCATTACTCCATTCTCTTCTTCTTAGATTCAATAAAAACAATGGTTATTATGTAGATATTTCTCAACAATCATCATTACAATCATTAACACTTGAAGAATGTATTAAATCAACTGTTCTTTTTCCTCTAAGCCTCTCTTCTATTACATTAGATAATTGTTTTTTGGAACAAAGTATAACAATGTCCCACTTATTAAATTTACAGGAGATAACAATATCATCTCAAAATTTATCAATTCAACTTCCAACTTCTGTAAGAAAATTAATTCTGGACTGTTCTTTGAATATTTCTATTCCAAATATTCATTGTCTTACTCTTTTGTCTACTTTCGTTTTAAACAAGTGCTATTTTAATTTTTACCAATTACCAAAGTCAATCTGCCATCTTTATATTGATAATTCAATGAATGTTACCGATGACATTCTC